CGCTGTGAACTGGATGGGACCCCTCTGTATCTCCTTCACCACTGGAGTATTTGGGGATACTTGGGGATAAGCCTTACATGCTTTGTTGGAGTATGAATTGTATAAACTTGTGATATGAGTTCATTAAGTTTTCCGGGACGTAGTTTGAAAGGACCAGACTAGAATATGTTTACATATCTGCTGGCAGTGGACCGGTGAAAAACACATCGATGGCATCACCAGGCAGTCCTGAAACCGATGTATGCGAACTTTCTCCGGAACGGACATTCGCACAAAGAGGTGGGGATTTTTGTGACCAGTGTTCTGTCTCGACGAGACACAATTAGCCGAACGGCTACCAGGTAAAATTGAGTATACGAGTCTTGCCCCTCACCATGACTTGTCAATTGACGCTGCAAGAATGGAGGAGCGCGTCTTTGGGGTAACATTGTACATGTCATTTGTGTTTTCATTTCATTGCCCGGTCCATGGCTCACACACCCGTTGGAGCTGTGTACATTACCTCAGTAGCTGTTAGGTGCTGCACTAAGGGTCAAACGTCAAACTGATGGTCAGTAAAGGTAGCTATTCCAAGAAGGACTTGTTTCAGGTCGGTGAATTACTACCCAGACAATCCCAGATGTGAGCCCCTGAAATCTAGCATATCAGCGGAGGAAAGGCTATGGATCCTCTGGTATTTCCTGGTAAACTAACATAATTATGGAAAATCACTATTTTAAATGGATAAATCAACTATAAATGGCCATTTTCAATAGCTTTTTGTATGTTTACCAGAGGGTATTCCCTGGTCATCTCAGCTTCAAGACCTGGGTCTCCCCATGTCTCTGCGAGGCGGGATTTCTCTTCATGGATTGGTTGGGCAGCATTTCCAAGGCTTGCGAACTGGAAGCGAACTGGGTCAGTGCACCATAGTTCACCCACTTTTTACATGCTGTGGCAATCTCCAAGATATTCCAAAAGAGTTTATATAATCTTGAAGATAATTAGTTTGATAGTTTGATTACTTCTGGTAGTTTAGCAGTTTGCCATGGAAAATCATGGAAAATCATCATTTTAATATATTTTAAATAGGCAAATCATCGGTCAACGGGTCATTTTCCATACTGTATCTATGTTGAAATACCGGAGGATGACTCTCGATGACATCCGATGACTTGGTATATAGACTTCTCAGGTTCGAAGTGAGCAACGCCAAATTCCAGGTGATTGATGGTGAAAATTGAGGTCATACCATGTTATACCATGTTATACCAACTGGGCTTATAAATAATCTAATGTGGCTTAACATAGATACTAACTGGGCTTATGAATTAATCCAATATGGAATGCGGATCAATCATATTGGGAATGATGGTGAACCAGGGTAAACTTGACACATACTGGACACCGCTGAAGGGTTTTTTGTCTTGGGATCACCTGTCTTCTCCTGTCAAGGCACCCTTGCCCAAGAGTATCGAGAGGTCAGCTGCCTCGAAATGCTTGAATTTGGAGGGCCTGAAAACACGCGGAGACCAAGAATGGCTGACCAGTCGACACACGGTCAATGGATGGTAAGTTTAAAGGGGAAAAGAACCATCTTAATTTCCCAGCAATAGACCACAAATTGAAGATAGGTTATTATTGTGCTTCTGTCCAAGAGATTCAAAAAGAGACAGTTATATAGCACTTTTGCGGAACTCTTTCTATTTCTGATTGTTCCTATCAACCCCCCTCCATGCATAATCATAAAACACAACAATTCCATACTCCAGAAATATTTCAGAAACACTCTGTGGATCAGAAATCTTTTGGACATTTCGAGAAATCAATCAAAACCAGGACAACTGCCTACATCTTCCTGCCTGCTCATTCTTCCTGCCTTTTCGGGCCTAATTACCTCGCTTGTTGGAATAGGATGGCACAACTATACTGCAGGGTAAATTTCGGTAATTATGATTATATAAATATAATATGATATATGATATATGATACAATACTATCTGGGGTTTGCCACATTTTCTTGGACAAAGCCATGTCATGTGCCTCCTTCTCTGCAGTGAAGACTTCGGCAACTCGTGGTTTTTTTCGTGACCAGCGGCCCAGCAAGATTAGGGTGGATTATGGCACCAGCTGGTTTTTGATGTTTTTGTGACTGGGAAGACTGGTGCCTTGTTCTCTATTTTTAGGCACAACTTGTCCTAGAGACGCGACAAAATATGATCCTGTCATATATGCTTTCCGGCGCTTCCTGGGCGTTTTGGCAGACATGTTAATCTCGTTGAAGTAGTTTTGTCACAGGTCATCACAGTAGTAGATCCAACCTGAATCATCCATTGAGAGGGAGATGATCCCTGTGGGTATATTTATCATGCGGGTCTGTCCAAAATGGGGGACCTTTCCACAGTTTTTTTTTTCCCCATGATGAACTACTGGGTTTTGGATGCTTTTGGGGTAGCGGATGTTCAGCGAAACCGCCAAATGATTCGTTTACAAGCCTCCAAGTCTAAGGGGTCCCTGGTTCCTTGACCTGTACTCAGCCTTGCGTCACTGTGTGAGTTGGGGGGAACAGTACAGGAAACTATTGATGTACCTGCTTTTTCTTTGCATGATTTCCCATTTCCCTTGAGCCAAGTCATATTAATTATATTGTTTTTTGAAGTTTTTTAAGTATCCTTTTGTCCCTTTTCCTCTAGCTGATGCGTTTCTGCTTTCCAGGCAACTTTCAGGCCATGGCCATTGGGCCATCGAAGAAATTCTTCGGCCTTGGTCCTTTAAGCGTCTGCCATGGTTTCCAGGTTCGATGATGGCTTCCATAAGATGCTGGTGGGCTCCTTACTGGTCTGCGATCACACCCACAGGCAGGGCGCTGTAAACAGGGTAAACCAAGCTGGTTGGGAAGGTTAATAATGGTTCTAATAAGTCAATGATTATCAGTGCCACAAATGTGGAATATATGAATATAATATATTATAATATATATATATATACTGAAAACTATGACAACTGCACAGCTATATCAAAGTTTTTCATGATATGATGCCATGATAATTTTGCATAGAAGATCACATACTGCCATTTCCAGTACTGGCTCCGCTTGTAGGAACATTATATTCCTGAGCCATCCTGAGCCATTTCTAGGGTTCCGTGTTAGTTTTCAGGAGGGTAAACCAAACTTCAATCTTCCTAAAGATATCAAATTACGTGTTTTGATCCTGCTGGATATCATGCGCCCACCTACGCATATACCCAGCACAATCATAAGAACGTCAAATCAAAGCCATCCACATAATCAGATAGATCCAGGAATTCTATGGAATTCCCTGAAAAACAAGAAACTGTCTCCGTTAAGCTGTTCACATGTTCAATTTGTGTTAAATGGCGGTGCTTTTTTTAAGGCGCGCCCCACGGACTTGGGCACAGGAAGACTTTGGCGCAGTGCCTTTCAGACCCCTACTTGGAGTCCGACAGTCAACGGGTGCGCTTGTGGTTTCACGGGTCAATGATGGTCAACGGTAGTGCGCGGCTGTGACCATGAACCACATGGAACAAAGATGTTTAAAACATTTTGAACCAAGGACCAAGTTCATGTGAAACTTATGTTTTTGGGAGCTGGGTGCAAAAGAATAATTATATATATATATGTGTGTGTGCGCGTTCAACCGCTCACATGTCTCTATGCCTGTATCACGATTGAATTCATATACATCATCAAGCCCTTGTTTCCAAGAAAGGGCTAGTTGATGGAAAGTCTTTGCGCGAATTTCTGGTTGCGTGAACCATCTATTCTTTAGCCCACTAGGATCCCGTCCAGCTTAATTGTTGAATCACAGATTTGGCGCACAAAATCCTCGAATTTGATGGGAAAATTGACCGGAAACATCCATACATCTGGAGATTGACTGAGAAAACCCATGACAAAGCAGTAGATTTTCTCACATTTTCTCACTAATTGAATGAGTATAGCCATCCCAGTGCCACTGTTTGCCCCAGCCACTGTGTTCAACCAATGGACCAGGCATCTACCGTGGACCAGACGACTTCGGACCGGGGTGGTGTTTTTATCGCATGATTTCGACCTCAAACTGAGATTTGAATCATGTGTGTTCCAGCAAAATCACCCAAAATATGGAAACATTATCAAAGAATATCCACACAAGTAAGTATCAAAATTGAATGGAGATCAATTTTTAAGTGACTGGGGACCCATTTTTCCTGTGCCAGGTCTTGGTCCTAGATTGTTTGAAGATATGGCCGAAGAATCTCCTCAAGATAACTATTGATCCTCCTCACCCTACACCCTAATAATAAACCGTGGAGCAAAGTTTATTAATGGGCGGCATTGAGATTTTCAATAAGAACAGCAATCATACCAGGTTGTTCTCCCTTGTATTTCCACCATTTGGACACATGAAACCAGCCCTCTAGGGAAGCAGTCAGAACACCATCAACACCACACCTGGAAGGGCGCCCAAACACCTCATTTCGCTTAACATCAATTTCCGTGGTTTTAGGGTTAAGGGTGTTAGGGCTTCGGAGTTTAAGTGTTTTAGGGTTTACCCTGATTTTTCTATGGTTTTGAGATGTTTTGAGGGTGGGTTTTAGGGTGTTGGGGTTCAGGATGACTCGTGCATTGATACACAGGTCCCTTACCTGAGCTTTTCAGGAATGCCAGCATGAACCATCATATACTGTGGTTTGAGAGTGCCTGGGCAAAATGATGTGTTTGTCCGTAGTTTTACTCAAGGTCTCACTTTTCCTGATTCTTGTGTTGAACTGTACATTGGGGGTCGCTTAATGTTTGATGTCAGCGCTTGGCGTTGCTGTAACGGTGGGAATGATCATCTTGGCAACTGACTGCTGCCTCATTGGCCGACCTCATTAGAAATGATGCTTAAGAAGTCGGACATGGATTCATCAGATATATCATCAGATATCATCAGACTCATCTCCAAAAAATGGCTAACATGCCACTCTGGTGAGCTAATTCAGCTAATTTCTTTGTGTTTGCATGACTTCTCCAGATGGTTTCACTGATCGTCGATGCGCAGGAAGCCCCTCCTTTACCTGTGAACGAGAAGGTTGACAGAACCACCCGAAATCGGATTGAAGACACTTCCAGCAAGGCCGGCCTCACGCGGGATGGTTTTCTTATGGGGCTGATTTGAATCAAGCAATGCCTTATGTAATGCCAATGTCCAATCATCAATTTATACATATTTATACAGTAATTATACTACATATTTATTAATTACATATTCATGCATATCTATTCATATTTATACATATTTGTATATTGTACATATTTAATTATACATAATTATACCAGGTGCATGTCACATATCATGACTTGACTTTTTGTTTTCTGTTTTTTTTTCCAGACGGCTAGCCGCTAGGTCTGGCCACCACAGTCCCGCAATCGCAGGCCCCACAGTTCAAGGGCACCTTGTGGAAATTGAACAACGATGGCAACGCACAGGAGAGAAAGCTGCGAGAATGTTTGGGCGCATGAGCGCTGTTAGAAACACCGAAATGGATTTCAAAGACCTGCTGAAATGATCCGAAATGGATCCACATGGTAATTTTTTGAGGGGTAAGCATTCTGGCTGCTGTAGCCTGATTGCAGATGATTGCAGATGATTGCAGCTTGTATAGAAATTGCTGTGCCTCTGGGAGACATGGGAGACATGTAGTCTCACTCTGCAATGCCCCAAGGGGATCCAAGGGGTACAGCTCACGCCTGCAAAGTTGTGTTGGTACTTGTAGCAGGTGGCCTAGGTGCAGAGTCTGCTTGTCCCAAATTTCCCTGGACTTCTTTTGATAGATTTTCCGTGATGTGGCAAACCCAAGAATAAACAGAAATAGAGTGAAAACAATCCTCTGTTTGGGGTCTATTGCATCGAGTCTACCACAGTAATTGAGATGCACCGGCTCCTGGTGTTGGTTCATGTCAGGAGCCAGCGCACTGGCTGAAGCGTGATATGTGGGTCAAGGGCCTTAGTTGTCACGTCATGGCAGTATTTGTCTGGTGCACGGACGACCACGGCGACGATGACGGCGGCAACCACGGCAACCACGGCAACAAACATCAACAAACAACAAACAACATCAAGAAACTACAATCGCAACTGCACCTACAATTTGACTTCAACGACTTTACTACAACTGCTGCAACTACAACTACAACTACAACCATACTATACTACAGCTATATCTACCCGCAGCACAGTCGCTACGCCCCACAGGTACATCATTAAAATACACTTTCACATTGGGTTTTCAGGTTTTTTTTAGGGCTCATTTTGGGTTTCTTTTGGGATCTTTAGGGTTTCTTTAAGGTTTTTCTGTTTTTTTCTGTTCGATGGTTTTTAAGGGTTTATGTCAAAAGTGACGAAAAGCAGTTTTCGGAGACAGCAGATTCACCGCAGAGGGTCATCAACAATGTCGCAGAGGGTTCCGATTCAATCATCCTGAAAGACTTTGGGGCATAGCACAAGTGCTGGCCGTATATCTACGTCTACAGCTACGGCAACAACAATAGCAGCAGCAGCGGCTACAGCTACAGCTACAGTAACAACAGCAACTGCGGAGTTAGCCGACCAAAATCTGGATTCAACCAGCACGGACCTCACTGGTTGACCAAGAAAATCTGGGAACTCAACCAACAAGGGTCAGTTCAAACCAACAAAGAAACCAAAGTGGGCTGGTTGGTGATTATTGTTTCCAACCAGTTGACAGTTGACTTTACTCATATAATAATATATTATAATTGATAATAAGATGTACATGTAATATATTACATTATATTATATTATATTTATATTATATTTATATTATATTTATATTATATTTATATTATATTTATATTATATTTATATTATATTACATTATCTTATATTATATTATCTTATATTATATTATATTATCTTATATTATATTATATTATATTATACTATACTAATATAATATAATATAATATTATATTATATCATATTATATTATATTATTTTGTTATATTATATTATATCATATTATATTATATCATTATATATCCCTTCTTGAATGATTCTCTCCCAATTGGTGGGCGATGAAAAATCGTCAGAGAACTTGCTGATAGCCACGGGAATGATGTGTTCAACTGCCTGCCCATAGGATCCCATGGGATACTTGTCAGGGCCATGTGATTCGAACTGGCGCTACTTGGATTTCTATCGATTCCGAAAAGGAACAGATCCAATATGATCCAATATGATCCAATGCTATATCAAGAAGGGTTGTGATTGGGGGCTGGGCAAAAATATTGGGATATATTGGGTGAATGGATTAATAAGCATGGCTGGGATATCACCCAGGTGGCGTTCAATGGATCCCTCTGCTATTTCAGCATCAAGGAGAACAAACGCGCGGATCCCCGATGTTGCGGAGGATGGTATGCATCGATCATCCCAGGTAAACGTAGATGAAGGAGTGGTTCATAAATATGTTGCCTACGTCAGTCCCAAAAATGCTGTAGTTATCGAATGACGAGTGGAACTGACCAGGAGTTCAGAACTGTTGTGACTGGTATCCAAGTGGGTGGTACATGTAGGCCATTGAGACAGGTTCCTGTATCCTTCGGATCTTTAGGATGTTACACCTACCAAGACAGAGAATGAGTCTCCACTGCAACTGCAGAGCGTCACAGGAGATCATGAATCAACTTTCCAAAAATCCCACTGGTCAAAGTGGGGCAGTTATCACGAGGTTTGTGATGGTTTGTGGAATCTCCTGGCAGCACGTGGGAGATTATCATCATTCAATTGCTGCACAACAGATGATTTGACGAGGGGATCAAAAGATTATGGTACCATCTTAGATATCGAGGGGATCAACAGCAACAAGCCCAGCAAGACCACCGGGAGGCAACGACAAGACAGCGACAAAAGAAGTAAAACAAGGACAACAGAAGAAATATGAAGACATATATAACATAATATAACGAGAAAGATGACAACAAACTATGAACATCAACAAAGACAACTACACAGCCCTTTTCATCCTTTTCCCTAAGTGCTGAACATGTCAATCACGTGGCAAGGTTTAGTTCCAAAATGCAGCAAAGACTATTGAAACGCGTGCAAACAAAATCAAGGTTCAAAATGGCGCCCTGCACGTGCGAGATCTAAACTCCAACATGCCACAACTGGCTAGTGTGTAAATGAAAGATTTTGGCTCGAGAATATTGAAGAGGGCACGGAAAACAACCCCGGATTGCAAAACAAAACAGAAAAATGCCCATATCAAATCGGTTTCGCCACGGCGTTTTACTTGGGGATGGGCAACTATCAACGGGACGTCGCACTAGAAACCGAGTGATGGGACGATCAACCCAAGTACTGTACTCCATCCAATCTGGACTATTGGGTCAAAGCCACCTCAAACCAGCAAAGACCATAAATCATGGGTCAGGTTGGGGTAACCATCGGTTCAAGGGCTTAAAGAACTGGTTTGGGAATGTGTGTGATCCAATTATTCCAAAAAGTATGTATTCTATCATACCTTATCATATTTCATCAGTTCTTTGTGCCCAAATCAAAATCATCCCCGTACCCACAACACGCGGGCCACGGCTAGGATGTTGTTGCTTGACTTATTTACCAAGGCCATCCAAGGCCTCACAAAGCCATAGTTGATTGATTCCGTTTGTGATTTCAGTAATTACTACATAAACACATCCATAATAACTACGAAACACAATACACCATAATCGTGATACTTTCAATTCACACAACGCATTACATCACATTACATCATCATCATCATCATCATCATCATCATGCATCATACGTTATATATTCACCTATGTTTTACACATTAGACATTAAAAACTACATTCATGTACGGTACATATATACACACATCGACATGCATTTTTATACATATGTGCATATGCATTGTGTGTCATATATTTGTAGATGCTCCTGTGTGATATTTCTAGATTTGTTGGACGCGTCTTGAATGGTGAACTTCCATGTTGTACTTCAAACTCCTGAAGCAACAGGAGTTAATGAGGTTCCTGTTCAACAGCAAAAACGCATCTATGTTGTGTAATATTTTAAAGATACTATATATACAAATGGAACATTATGGAACATGTACGGGGGGGTTGGGGGGTTTGGTGTTTTGTGCTTTTTTGGGGGTTTGGGTGGTTTGGAGGGGTGGACCTATGCATAACATATCATAAGATACTGCTCAGAACATATTTCTATCTCCCCATCCCACAGTTGAATTCGGGGCAAAAAAGTTACAGGAAAGCCTGAAGTGGGGCTAAAAATCTGGGTTTTTCTTGCAAAAAACATAGCATCATTCACCAATCGACCCAGGTTTGGTCCTGGTAGATGGATCGCGGCTTACAGGAGCCAAGGCGCCATTGGTTTTTCGCGGGGTGACACGCTGCGTTTCAACCATGAAAAACAAGCCTGTGGATGGGTTATGAAAGTGATGCTTTTAACATCTTTTAACAATCAAATTTGGATTTTGATCACAAGACAGTGGAATATCAATGAATATCATGGATCACTGATGATTGATTGGTTATGGGGGGTATATTTATCGCTGGTGTGACCAGCTCATGGATCCCGCTTTCCAAGATCATCCAGTCGGGACACGAGGTGTGGTAGAAACCAACTGCCAAAGGATGGTATCGATTGCACATATTGACTTGATATGAATATATATGAAGTAACTATAAGTAACTTCATTAATGTAAAGCACTCAGTACTTTGATATTGGGACCTTTTTTGCAGCGGAATTTTTGCGGGGTTGCGCATCGGTGGAAACTCTTGATATGATTTGATCATTTTGGAAGTTCGAAACATGTGTTGCAAACTGATGTGTAGCAGCCTTTGTAGTAAGCAGCAACAACTTTTTCTTGTGAGGGTGTTTTTCTTTTGCAAGTCGTGGATGTATAGGAGAGGTGACGTGAGAGATGCACATGCAGGCTACTTGTACTCTATTTGTTACACGGCATAGCCAAGGACATTGAAGACTTCATGGGAATACTGATGTCTACCTGAGAGTCTACCGTGGAGTCTAAGTGTTGCTAGTCTGGTAGTGGATTTCATCGAACCACATCGCTTTCTGAAAAAGGTTTCAGAAGCACATTCGGCATTTGGATTGTAGTTTGGCTTGTCATCCTGCATGCGCGCAATTTAGAATGCGTGTCCAATATTAGAGGCTACCCCAAAATCTACTGGTTTATGGTCAGTTCCTGTTAGAATGCCAATTTGGAAGTATACCGGTATACCTCATGTTCATCCATTTTCAGGCACCCCACATTGCCACATCCCAAGTTTCCCCATGTCATAGCCCCTTCCTCACCGGAAATCCGCATGTTCAATGGAATGCTTCGTTTTTGGAAGGGTCACTGGACAATTAGGTATGGTTTATGACCTGGATTTGCCAATTAGCATTTTCCCTTAGCAAATCATGAATGAACAATTATAAGCAACTATCTAATATGAGTATGATATA